AGATTAATGGACTTGGACTTTCCTTCCCTGAAAGAAGCAACACCCAAGGATTCTGAACAGTCTCCTGCTCTGTGGTGATACTTTGGGTAAGTTTAAATTTACTCTGCTACTTTCTCTTCTTAGCTCAAAGACCTCTGGAACTACTGTATTACTGTACTGTACAGCAGTGTGTTCATCTGAGAATCTTTTGTGAGAAAAAAATTACTGGATAAGTTAGATCTTTAATATCAGAAATACATGAACAGAAATCCCTAGGAGGGAATTGCTTTCTGAGTGAGATAGAAAAGTTTAGTTAGATGAGGTCATATAAACTTCATAAAAATCTTTAAGGTTCCACATATTAAAACTGTGTCCATTTTTTGGGGGGTTGGTCATGGGACCTGAACTCTGGGCCTGGGCGCTGTCCGTCAGCTCTTCAGCTCAAGGCTAGCGCTCTACCACTTGAGCCACAGTGCCACTTCCAGCTTTTTCTGCTTATGTGGTGCTGAGGAATCAAACCCAGGGCCTCATGTATGCAAGGCAAGCGCTCTACCACTGAGCCACCTTCCCAGCCCCTACTGTGTCCATTCTTAAGGCAGCCAAAGAAAAATCAGTCTAAAATGCCCAACTGTCAATTTAGGCAGTGTTGACACTTCAGCTTGACGTGTTCACAGTAGAGTATACGTATGTGGGCATCTGGTGCAATTCGTTAGCCCCAGCTTGGTTCTCCTCCAGTGTCTTCTCTTGGAGTTGTAGCTGAGTCTGTTACCAGTTTTCTTCTGAATTCACTGGAGAATGGGATGATTTTGCTTTTATGACTCGGCCAGGAACCACTTCATTCTGAGTCTTGTGAGAAGACACGGTAAGAACCCCAGCCATGATGGCAGGCAAAGTTGAAGAGCATCATACTAATCTTTCGAAGTTGCTATTGATGTAGTCATGAGGCTAGGTGCCAGGTTCAAGATTGTATAGAATAATTATTCTATTTGTGACTCTGAGTCCAAGGTAGTTTGCCACCATATAGGTTGCCAATGAGAAGTCTTTAGGGAAGGTAAAAGGGAACGAACACCTAGATCCCTTTAAATTCAGAAGTAATGTATGAATTTGCAGAAATGAGCATAATTTTGAGTTTCCTTCTTAAAAGATGCCATTATTTGGAAAGAAATTGAAACATGTGCATTGTTATTAAGTTGGAAAAGATCAAGATGCTTACAGAATCCTTTTAGGAAAGGTGTAGAGAAAGAGGCATTTTTGAACTTTGCTAACTGAAGTACGAATTAGTGCAACCTGGAAAAATATATCAAAACTACAAATGTACCTTACACATAACATGATGTATGCTCAGAGTTGTGCACAACAGTGTTGTTTGAAAAGCAATAGATTGAAAACAACTTAAGTGCCTACCAACAGTTAACTGGTTAAATGAAACTACCTGTATTCAAAACAACCTCAAGCATAAGGAAATGGGCTGGGTTTGAAGTGGCACTGGGTGGGACTCAGTGGTAGAGCACTAGCCTTAAGCTGAAGAGCTGAGGGACGCGGCCCAGGCCCAGAGTTCAGGCCCCCGAGACAGAGCCCCCCCCCAAAAAAAAGATTAGAAATTACCTGTAGATAGGAATGGTTTTCAAGTTGTATTAAGTGAAGTAATTGGGATTTAAGAAATGGATTTGATTGCCTTCCTTTATGGAAAACCTTCTATATGTCTTTGCTTATGTAGCTATAGACTATCAATGGAAGAATGTACAACAAATTGTTAACATTTGTCCCTAATGGTAAGATGATTCATATCTAGTGTAATAAAAATTTTAACCATATGAATGCATTAGATATTCAAGCGAGAAGAAAAAGAAACATAACCAACTCTTGGGTTGGAGGCATGGCTCAATTGGTAGAGTGCCAGCCAATGAGCAGCAGATACTAAGTATGAGTCCCTCTCTGGGACAAAACAAATAAAAAAGAATTTAAATGTTCAGCATGAAGACTGTTCACGCTGTAATCCTAACTACTCAGGAGGCTGAGATCTAAGGATTGCGGTTCAAAGTGGCAGCGCGCTAGCTTTTCAGCTTTTCCGCTCAGGGACAGAGCTCAGGCCCTGAGTTCAAGCCCCACGACCAACAAAAAGTTGGTTGGTTAAAACTAAAAGTGAAGCACATATAAGGCATACAATCCTAATCCTCTCCAAACTCTACCCCTTGCTGGAATCAAACTCAGGGCCTCAGGCATGATAGGCAGGTACTCTAACACTGAGCTACATACCTCTCTGGCCCAAGAATATCTTTTCAGGGTATCAGTATTGATGGATCTAAGTGTTAGGCCCTGTGAGTTTGGGTTGTACTGCTAATTGAGTGTCAGGGGCCTTGGACTTTTAAGACTCAGTTTCCCTACTTGTAAAATCATCATTCTCAGAGGACTGGTGAAAACTGAATGCACATAAGATACTCAGGTCTCACGGAAAGCACTCAATAAATGGTAGTTTCTGGCCTCCCCCCCAAAAAACAAAAACAAACGAGCAAAACCCACTTCTAACAACAAACCCCATTCCCATTTACTCTGGTTCCTTCTGAATTAGTCAGAGATAAACCAGATAATTCCAGTGGTGGCGATCTGGATCTGCGGACGTCCTTTCTTCCCGCGGCCGCCGCCACCCACCCCGCAGACCTCCCACCTGTGCTGCTGAATGAAGTGCGCTCCGCGTGGGGCTGCGCGGAGCCCGGCGCGCTGTTTTCTCAGGGGTGGAGGGCGGGAAGAGATGTTGTTGACACAGTTCTCCAAAGCCTGTCACTCAGTCCCCTGCCCACTACCTCTACAGACCGTTATGCATATTAAAGAAGGAGGGGTGGGGGGGGGGGAGCGGCAAATACAAAAGAAAAATAAGCGAGAGAGAGTGAAAGAGGGAACAAATCAGGACGCTTGAGGGGATCCACGTGGTCGCCAATCTGTAACTGATCAGAGCAGCTACACGGGAGGAGAGCGGGCACACGCGCGCGCGCGCACACACACACACACACACACACACCCCAAAACCCCAGAGCCCAAGGCCAAATATACGGCCACGGAGAAGTGGTCCACAAGGGTCGTCCCCGTCCCGAGCGGTCCCGGGGCTGCCGTTTGCTGCCCGCCGCCCCCCCCCCCCCCGCCCCGCCCCGCACCTAGTAAACCACGCGATGTAACAACGGAATCCGGTCCCGTTTGTGCGTGTGCGCTCTGCCAACCATCTGGGCCCCATCCTGCGCGGTTGGAACGCCGATCGATCCCGGACGAGTTCGGGGAGCCGGGGGGGGGGGGGGCTCGCCTGGCGTTCCCCCCCATCTCCCTTTCTCTGCGCTCTCTTCCACCTCCCACCCCCGTCGTGCGCCCGGCACCACCGTCTCGCCGTTGGCAGGATGGAGGTTTTCAGCACCAGGAGGCCGTGGACCTTCTCTGGAGGCGCGCAGCACGCCCTCCCGAGGGCCGGGGCTCGCCGCAACCTGCGGTCCACGACCCTCCCTCCCTCCTCTCCGCCCCGGGCAGAACGTTGCGAGCGGTGGGCTCGGCGTGCGGGGTGCGGGGGTCCAGGGAGGCTGCGTGACCTTCCAGCGAACTCCATCCACCCCGGCTGCGGACGGGGCGGGGCGGGGGCATGGAGGCGGCCCCGGGGCCTCGCTGGCTGGCCTCGCTCCCCCCCCCCGCCCCTCCTACCCCCTCCCCCGGCCCACGCAAGTTCTCCACGCACAAACCCCCTTCCTTCCCCCTCGGCTTCTCCCAGCCGCGCAGGCTTCCAAACGCCTAGGCTGGAGGCGCCCTCCCCTCCTTTCCCCGCAATAAAGTAAACCCGGAGGGCGGACACTCACGCCGGGCCCTCCCCTCCCCCGCCCCCCGGCTCCCAACCACGCGCGCGAGCTCGCCGCCCGCGGGCCCCTCCACCGCGGGCATCTCCATGCCCGCCGCCCCCCCTCCCGCGCCTAACCCCCGCCGTGCTGGGCGCCCCCCGCCCCCGGCGCGCCTGCAGCGGGGTCTGCGGGGCACGCCGCGCCGGGGAGCAGGGGCGGGGGCGCCGCGGCCCGCCTCTTCCCTCCAGGCCCCGTTAGCCGCCCAGCTGCAGCTCGGTTTCAAAGCCGCGTCCTCAGCGGAGCACGCCGTGGCCGCGGAGCCCGGGCTGGGCTGTGTGTGTGGGGACGACAGAAAACACAAGGCGACCCCGCACGCGGGCACGGGGCTCGGCCGGGGCCGGGGGCTCCGTCGGGGCGGGAGGCGGCGGGGGAGCGGGCCTGGGCGGCGGGCGCGCCCCGGAGCGCCGGCGGCGGCGGCGGGGAGGGAGGGGCCCCGCTTTATCTCGGGGAGGCGCACACGCCGCGGCCCTTTCGGGGCTGCACGCCGCGAGCCGGGCAGCGCTTCCGTGTGGCGGGCCGCACAATAAGGCCGCTCGACCGCGGGAGGCGTGCGATCCGGGGCGAACCCCGCTGGCATCCGTGCCCCGGGGCGGAGGAGAAGCCGCCGTCCTCCCGGGCCCGGCCACCGCGCGGTGCGGTCCGGGAAGCTGCTCGGGCGGGCGGGCGGGCGGGCGGCGCGGGGACGCGCGCGGCCGGCCTCGGCTCCCCGGGCTCGCGGGCGGGCGGCCCGGCTCCGGCGCCTCCGTCCGCCCCGCGGCCCTCGCCCCCTCCCCTCCCCTCCCCCTCTCCCCGGAACCCGCGCTCCGCTCCCGGCTCCTGGGCTTCCTCCCCCCGCCCGCGCCGAGCCGCTCCCGGAGGGCGGGGCGTGCAGTTATCCAGGTTGCGGGGCGGGCGGGCGCGCAGGAGGCGGCGGCCCGGGCCTCGGCATAGAGGAGCCGCGGGCTGGCGGCGGAGGCGGAGGCCCGAGGCCCGTATGCAGATTGCGGGGCGGGCGGGCGCGGCCCGGCGCTCGGCATAGCGGCCCGCGGGGTGCGGGCGGCCGGGCGGCGCCAGGCGGGTTAGGCAGGTTCCGGGGCCCGCGCCCCCCCTCCGCCTCCCCGCCCCCCTGTGTTGTCGCCTCTCCCTCTCGCTGCTTCACTTCACGGGGCGAACATGGCGCACAGCTGTCGGTGGCGCTTCCCCGCCCGGCCCGGGACCACCGGGGGCGGCGGCGGCGGGGGGCGCCGGGGCCTAGGGGGCGCCCCGCGGCAACGCGTCCCGGCCCTGCTGCTCCCCCCCGGGCCCCCGGCCGGCGGCGGCGGCCCCGGGGCGCCCCCCTCCCCCCCGGCGGTGGCGGCCGCGGCGGCGGCGGCGGCGGCGGCGGCGGCGGGAAGCAGCGGGGCCGGGGTTCCAGGGGGAGCGGCCGCCGCCTCGGCCGCCTCCTCGTCGTCCGCCTCGTCTTCGTCTTCGTCATCGTCTTCAGCCTCCTCGGGGCCGGCCCTGCTCCGGGTGGGCCCGGGCTTCGACGCGGCGCTGCAGGTTTCGGCCGCCATCGGCACCAACCTGCGCCGGTTCCGGGCCGTGTTTGGGGAGAGCGGCGGGGGAGGCGGCAGCGGAGAGGTAAGCGGGGGGCGAGGAGCCCCCGGACCCGGGGTCTCGACCCTCTGCGGAGCCCCTCCCCTCCCCCATCGGGGCGCCGAGCATCCCGATGCGGGAACCATCCCGGGGTCCCCGACCCGGGGCGAGTGGCCCTCCCATTTCGGGATTCCCCCCCCTCCCCTCTCCCCAGCGTACCGGGTGCAGACCCCCGGGACCCCCCTCCCCCAGCCCGCCCCGGGGTGCAGACCTCCCCGGCCCAGGGGCGTCTGCCCCCTCCTCCTTAGGACCCTTCCCCAAACCCCGCAGCGCAGACCCCCCACGCCGGGGTTTCCCATCCCGGGACCGAACCCCTCCTCCTTCCACAGATTACCTCATCCGAGCGAGATTGCGCCCTCCCTCCCTCCCTGCTAGAGACCTGATCCCGCCACATCCCCGCCTCCCTCCCCGGGCAGATGTGCTGCTCCCAGGGCAGCCTTCCCCTCGGACATCTTTGGGGTGGTGGCCTCCTCCGGGGCCCCTGGGGGATCCGGGTCCCCTCCCGCACCTGGCTTTCCAAACCCAGCCCCAGCCGGGTGTCCTGTCTTGCAGCCACTCCCCCTTCCCTCACCTCCACCTCCTACCCCCACCCCACGCCCACCCCCGGCGGACAGACCCCCCCCCCGAAACCTTGCCTCTCCACCTGGCCCCCTCTCACCTCCTTCCCCTCGGAGATAACGGTGCTGTCCCCCAGCAGCCTCTTCCCCGTCTTCCAGGACCACAGTCCTCGCCTGCTGGTGGCCGGGGCTCGCTCTCCCTTCCCTCCCTTCCCTCCTTTCCAATGAAAAGTCAATGACATCTTGGAGGGGAAATAGTCTGGAAGGAGAGGAGCTTTCTCGTAGTCCCCAGGGGGAGAAGCAGGCTATCCCTCCAGTTCTGGGGTGGGGGGGGGAGGGAGGGGAGGCTGGGGGGGGATTGGGGCAGCATCCTCCCCGGGGACGCAGCTGCTCCCCGCCACCCCACCCAGTGGCCGGAGTGCTCGCCAGTCTCTGCAGCGCCAGCTCCCCCCGCCCTGCTCCTCCTCTCGTCATTTCACTATTGATCCACCTTTCCCTAGGCCCATCCCGGGACTCGGCCAGGCTGGGGAAGCCGGGTGGGGGTGAGGAGCTCAGGGACGGTTTTTCCTTTAGTGTGGTGGTGATGGGGAGAACGAGGAGGAAGCCAAGTTAGTCCCTAGGAGTTAGGGTGGTCTGATTCTGATAAAGGGGATGGGGGCGGGGGAGGACCCAAGGCGGGTGAAGGGTCGGAGCCAGCGTGCTTCCCGCTAGTGGAAGGGTGAGGATGGGGATGCTTTGGTGAGAGCGAAAAGGAAAGTTGCCCCGGGAAGGGAAGTTGAGTTCAGGTTCAGCCAGTGGTGTGGCGCATTTGTTTTCCATTGGATGCAGAAGGAGCAGTTTGAATCGCAGGGAAGGGGGGTCGAGGGGAGGGGGGATGCCAGGAGGAGGAAGAGCAGCTGCTAGGGGCTGAAGCAAGGGGAGGGGGTAGGGGATGGCCGCTCTGGAGTGCTCTTGATTGAAACAGAAAGGGAAAGATAACCACCAGCCGTTTCCTGCGTGCTCTGCCGTTGGTGCACACAAAATATCCTGGGCAAACCCCTTGTTGCCCGTTGTGCCCCACACCACTTAAGCTCTACTGAAAGACCCTGGGAAGAAGGGAAGGGTGGAGATCTCAGGGACCCCGGCCCCTCCTCTCAGGGAGCTGACATTTTTTTAGTTGTTCATCTTCCTGCCTGCCTCCTTTTAAAGATTGTTTCTAAGGCAGCCAGATCAGGAGACTGACACAGCCCGCCTTCTGACAGAGCCGGGAGGACTTGCTGGGGGCGTGTTCCTCCCTGCGTAGCTAGCTGCAGCATCCCCTCTCCCTACCTTTCTCTGCTCTATCTCCACCTCCTTTTCCCAGCCTTCAGAAGGCAGCTGCAGTCAGCAATGGTTGTTTGAGACTATTTATTGGTTGCTCTAGATGATTATTATTTTTTGAAAGGCCAATTCTGTATTTTTTAAGCTAACAACACAGATCCCATGTAGTTGGAGAACCAAAGGCCTCATACATGACAAAAAGACTGAACCGTTCAGGTTACTTGCATGGAGTTGGTGCTTAAAAGTGAGTTGATTTTGCTTTTTTAAAAGATACAGCAGCAAAAAAAAAAAAAAAAAAAAAGAATAGACTTACTGACATTTCATTTACCTGCTTATTTTCAAAATTGCATCTTGCCTGGTTATAAGTAGAATTTTAGCCCTATGTATGTTAAGAGTATAATAAGAAAGTTAGTCTGTTTTAAGGGGATTCTAAAGAAGCATTTTCTTCTTGTTTAGCATGCTTTTGTAATTTGCATTGAAGGACCAAGTGTTCACATTCCAAATATTATCACAAAAGTTCAAAAGTAGAGTTTCATATTGACAGCTTCCAATCATAGCTTTTCAAGAGACTGGTTAGAAAGAGAGAAACCTGGATTCAGGGACCTGATGTCTGGGCACCAGAATATTTGTATTTGTTGGTCTTTGACAAATCACCTTTTAATCAGGTGCAAACAGTTTCTTATCTACTGATATTAGAAGATGATTGTTAAGCTAGCCTTTTATTTTACTTAAGGGTAGTTTATAGTATAAAGCTTGTCAAGAAAGTATAGTTACTTCAAGTAAAATCCTATTGGTAAGGGGGTATCTTTTTATTGAAAACTTTTGCCTGAATAGTACTTACTACTTTGTTAGGAGACAAGTAGTTGACTTTCTGCCTTGTGCCTTAAATGTCAGTATTTCTTCTGAATTGGCCTTGAATGAGCTCTTGGTAAGCTTTGATGTGGTAGTTTGAGGCTATATGGTATGGGTTGATGGTATGTGTTAAGTGGTAAGCCAGAGTGATGATCTCCTTTGACCTGGTAGTATTCAGTGTGGACACCAAACACTTGGTTAGACAGGCTTACACCTCAGTGATAAATTTGCAAAAGGAAGTTTAGAGATTTCTTGCTTGGCTGATAGAATTTACTGAATTCTAAAGATTGCTTCTTAGAACGTGCTCATTACTCATGCATCAAATCTTATTAGCTGGATTCATGATGAGATGTTATATGACTCCAAAGAGTCTCAGCTATTGCCATTGTGATTAAGTGAATACTGACCAGAAGCTGCCTGTATAACTTCTAAGATTAGGTGAGAGAACTTTGCTCACTTCCCTGTTAGAACTCTCTTAGCCATTGGAGATTCATTCTCTGTAGTTGTTGGTACCTAACTTCACTCCTACTGGATAATCTCTCGGATACCAACTAACATGTTAGTTCTTCAGGACCAAATTTTATTGTTAAAATGGGATTTTTTTTTTTAATGTGTAGGTGTGGCTGGTTACTTATTTGGGCCTTCTCTGTGACAGTTAGGAAGTAGAGTTGTATTTCCTTATATACTGTGAGAAATCACAGAGGCCCACCTTTGGGCCTCTGTTCTCTCCCTTCTCTTCATAGTGTCAGCAAGCTATCTTCCTAAGGATTGTCTCAGGAATGTCCATACGGTTGAGCTTTGCCATCTAAATAAACAGCAGGCAGCATGTCTGTTGACTGTTTTAATATAAGCTTCAGAAATAGTACTAGTCTGAGTATGAATTTCATAATCCAGTTGCCTTCCATACCGCCCCTCAAAATGTTAAAAGCATAATTTTCTTCCTGATCATAACATTGCAGACCCTAATTAGATATAAATTGAATCTGAATTACAATGTTGGTGTGCATTCATTTTCATTTGAAGTTTCAGTTCAGTTCATGGCCTGAAGTAGGCCATGTGGAGTTGGAATTATAAGAATATAGTCTTCTAGCTGGAACGTAGTTGGAGAGTGAAGTTTTGGAGGCTCACCAGGCTTAGGTATCATGACAGAGTTGCTCCTTCATCGCCCCTCTCCCAGCTAATCCTAAGCTTGGCAAGAGAAAAATCCAGGGGAGTGACAGCAGTTTGTGTGGTCTCTCCCCTCACCTGTCACTGACTGGTTAGAACACTTCAGGCAATTCACTTGTAACCTTACATTTCTCATCTGTAAAGTAAGAGAGGTGCACTCAATTAATTGTGGACCTTTTGTCCCATTATCCCAATTCCTTTTTATGCTATTAACTTTTTGTGGATGTCAGAAATTCTCTTGACTTTATTTCAAGCATGGAGTCAGTGAGATTGCTGGTGATTATTAATTTCAGATGGTACATTTGTCCACTTAACTGGCATTATGATTAGGAGAAATTTCAACTTGGGAAATGTTTCATTGTGTAGAAAAGCTTAAGAAAGGACTTTGCTAAAGTTGATCCATTTCACAACAAACAACAAAAAGATAACTTTTTATTTTCTTCACAGTGCTGGAGAGTAAACTTCTTGGGGTCTTTCACTTCAGTATTCTATCTAAGCTATGTCCCTGGTCCAAAGGCTAGACTTCTCTCTGTTGCCAAGGCTGGTCTGGAACCCTTAGGCTCAGGCCATCCTCCTACCTCAACTTCCTGAGTTGCTGGGACTACTGGCACATTCCATTGTGCTTGGCTTGAAGATAAATTATTATGGTGCCTGTCCTGGGGTTTCAACTGAGGGCTTGGGCACTATCCCTATTTTGCTATCCCTTATTTTGCTCAAGGCTCATGTTCTACCACTTGAGCCACAATCCATTTCCATCTTTGTGGTGGTAGTTTATGGAGATAAGACTCTTATGGACTTTCTGGTGCCCAGGCTGGCTTTGAATCATGATCCTCAGATCTCAGCCTCCTCAGTAGCTAGGATTACAGGTGTAAGCCACCAGTGCTTGACTGATTTTTTTTTTTAATGTTTTTTATTGTGAAAATACTGTACAGAGGGGCTACAGTTACATGAGCAAGGTAATGAGTACATTTCTTATCAAGCATTGTTGCCTTCTCTTTTGTTTTTCTCCTACCATCCCTTCCCTCCCACCTCAACTATATTCCCCCTCCCCCCCTCGATTTTTTTTTTTTAACATAGAACACAGGGCTTTGGACTTTTTAGGCTGATGCT